ATATTCGACGAGAAGATTTGCCGAAGTTTCCCGAACGCTGCCCATCCGAGTTGGATTCGCCGATTGACCTCTGCGTCGAAGTTGGACTTACCTAGCCGGACTAACTGTCCTAGGTAAACATACTCGTCAACAACTTCGAGCTCAGTGCTCCCAACAACAACCGGTATAGGCGTGAAATGGACATTAGACATGATCTTCGTCTTGTCCATGTTCATCTTAAGGCCCACCCGTTGGGAGACACTGTTGAGGTCATTGAGCATAGCACCCAGGTCCTCCAGCGATTCTGCCATGATGACTATATCGTCGGCAAATCGAAGGTGGGTGATGTATTCGCCATTGATGTTAATACTTCGTCCTTTCCAATCCAGAAGCTTGAAAACATCTTCCAACGCAGCGGTGAAGAGTTTCGGGGATATGACATCACCCTGTCTTACACCCTTCTGCAGATGGATAGGTTTTGTACTACTGGACTGTACTTGGACGGACATCGTAGCCTTGTTATACAAACACCTCAGCACTTCGATATACCGACAGTCAATTTGGCACCGCTGAAGAGCCTGGAGTACCGCCCAAATTTCGACAGAATCGAAGGCTTTCTCATAGTCCACATACGCTAGGCACAAAGGCAGATTATACTCTTCGGTCTTCTGTATAACCTGCCGCAAGGTGTGTATGTGGTCTATGGTACTGAAGCCTTTCCGGAATCCGGCTTGTTCGGGAGGCTGGAAGTCGTCGAGTCTGGAAGCGAGACGATTCAAGATGACTCTTGAGAACAGCACATAGACGCGGTTCAGAAGGGATATCGGTCTATAGTTCTTCAAGAGAGCGTTATCGCCTTTCTTGAAGAACAGCACCACCACACTTCTGCTCCACGCCTCTGGTGTAGCACCACCCTGAAGGACGAAATTAAAGAGCCTCTGAAGGACTACAAGTACCGGTTCTCCACCCGCTTTCAGAAGCTCTGCTGTAACTCCGTCCTCTCCCGATGCTTTGCCATTCTTAAGATGGTCGAGAGCCATTCTAATCTCGCTCAGACTGAGGTCCGGGATATTCTCGGAATAGTGTCGGATAAGCTTTGCTCTTGGGTCGTAACTCACACATGTGTGTGGCTCCAACGACGATGTGTACAGCTGTCCATAGAACCTCTCAATCTCACTCAAAACCTCTGGTCTACTGGAGATGACAGCCCCGCTGTCAGTCTTCAACTTAGTCAGTTGGCTTTGTCCGATAGACAGATCTCTGGCGAAGACTTTTGAGCCTAGGTTCCGCTCTATAGCTCCCTCAATACGAGCTGTGTTGAAGATGCGTAAGTCTCGCCTCATGCATTTGGAGATCTGCCTATTAAGCCGCCTGTAGTCTGACATGTCAGTTAAAGACTGCAGTCACATCTCACGTCTTTTTCCCAAGAGGTTAAGAGTGTGATCGGAGAGATTTTGCGTTCTATTTGTGCGGCGGGCCTTATAAAATTTAAGGCCCACGGCATGGACAGTTTCCACGAGCTTAGCGTTAATATCTTCCACAGTGTTGCAATTTTCTAGGCATTGGAAGCGATTATGTAGCTCGAGCCGAAAGCTTTCGGAGTTCTGGATATGGGCACGAGAGATGGTCGGAGTGTGGACTTCATTAGACGAGATCTTTCCAGCCTGATATTAATATTCAATGTGCCTCTCACCAATCGGTGATCACTGCCGGTCTTCACCCTTGTGATCACAGAGACATTATTGAATATTTGCCGTTTGTTCGTCATAATGAAGTCTATCTCGTTTTTTACAGAACCATCGGGGCTAATCCAGGTCCACTTTCTGTGGGGCTGCTTTTTGAAGAAGGAGTTCATCATAAAGAGTCCCTCCTTCTCCATAAAGTCAGCCAGCTGCTGCCGCCTTGGGTTCCGTTGCCCTATACCAAAACTTCCTACTCTCAGCTCATCGTCTTTCCTTTTGCCCAGTTTTGCGTTGAAGTCTCCCATTAACACCATTTATTGAGTTTTGGAGGAATGTATGGCTCGTGATATATCCTCATACATTGCCTCCACCTCATCATCGGGATGTGTCAACGTTGGTGCATAGACCTGTATGACCTTCAGCGAATACCGTTTGGATACTCTGAGTATAAGGTACGCAACCCTCGACGACACATCCTCGATTTTAACAACGTTGTTAATGAGAGACTTGTGGACGATAAATCCGACACCACCTTGGGACAGTTCGTCGCCCTCCCGGTGGTAAAACAGGTTGCCGGATTCGAGGATTATCGTGTCCTCCCCCTGTCTTCGGACTTCAGATAATCCTATTATATCCCAGCGCAGCCTGTTCACCTCTTCTTCCAGCTCTGTAATCTTCTCGTCAGTCCTCAATGTTCTTGCGTTGTATGTTGCCAGGTCCAGTCGCCGTCGTTGGTAGCCGAATCCTAGCCGGGGATTCTTAGCATCCCCTGCCCTGCCGTTACCATGACCGCTACCGTAGCCAGGAATAGCAGGGCCGCCGGGTACTGGGGGCCGTACACCTTGGACTTCTATATATGAGGGGTTTTTGCCATAGTTGCCACGCTTGGCGAGCGGGTTGGCAACCGCAGTTCTTCCAAACACCTCGCACCTTCAACGCTGCTGCCCGTTATTGGCCTGGATATTTGGGTCTACCTAACTCTATTAGGTAAACAAAATTTTCTGTAGGAAGTTTTTGTAATCTCGCATTATCTGGCAGAAGGTGCGACCCGGGCACCGGCGCTACCCTTCGACACTGTAGATGGCCTAGCTCCTAAACGACTTCTAGGCCCATTATGAAACTTGGCAAGGACTATCTTTACACTATTAACTAGTTTTAGAAAAAAACTTTTAGTGGTCCAACTTTGTGAAATTCAAGTTTAAAATGTTGAAACATGTTTTTTTTTCCAAAAAAATTTTTTAATTTATTAAAATGCAATTAGAAACCTAATTAAATTAAGCATATACTTGACTACTTAATTTATTCCCATTTATCTTTTTAATACTCAATAATGGCATTCGAAATAGCGCATACCTTCCGATTAGCCACATTTTTGAAGCTCTCTAAATCGTAAACTCCATTTTATACTGTAAAAATATTTTGTATCTGGATTGAGGTCATATATAGACATACATAATCAAATATTACTAAAATCGCAATCATCAACTTTTTTTACCAGTCCGCTCCGCGTGGAATGGCCCATGTTCAAAATGAATTTTAGGATATCTCTGATTCCGGACTAGAGGATTCGATCCCGGATCTCGGTACGGTGGTAGGGCCACGCAGCAGCCTCGGCTGTTGCACGAATGGGCAGGCCCGTCCGGGTAAGTACCACGACCTCACAGAAGACCAGCGTAAAGTGGGAGTATGACAAATACTTTCGCGTTTCGTCTGGTGAGTGAGGTAGCCGGAGCCCAATTTTCAAAAGGTTGTCAACGCATCTGTAACCCTCGGGTGTGGCAGATGTCCATGGGCAGCGGTATTCACTTAACATCAGGTGAACCGTTTGCTCGTTTAACAACGTTTCACATAAAAAAATTCTCAGGATCCCGGTCGTATTTTAACCCCATTTTTCGTGATTGAAACGATGTTTAAATAAGTCAATAGAAATATGCGTGGAACGAAACGCACTTACCTTGATTGTTTATTGTTAGTTTCATAAATTATTTACAGAAGTACCTAGTTTGTTTATTTTTAAGAAGAAAATATAATTTTGTTTAACCGCCTTTGTGAAGAACTTAAATACTCTGTCCTCACAAAACTAAAACATAAATAAAAAAATGATTTTGTAATGTTTTACCGTCTATTTGTTGCCACTTTCCATTACCAATACAAACCCGGGACTATCCCGGGATCCCGAGATAAACTGTAGATAATCCCGAAATCCCGGTATTAGAAAAATCGACCGGGATCGAATCCTCTACTCCGGACACTTGCTTTAAATTCAATACACTCGTTGCAGTCTGTGAGGAAGCCCTATGTTCAGCAGTGGACTCAAACAGGCTGAAATGATGACGATAATGACGATGAGCCGCCTGAGTTCAAATATCGATTCCGGGATGTATCACTTGCTCAGCGGTGAAGGAAAACATAATGAGGAAACCTGCATATTTTCTAAATTATATAAATGTATTTCAATATGTGAAGTCTGCCAATCTGCAGTGGGTAGCGTAGTGAACTATGCCTTAATACCTTCGATACAGAGGAGGCCTGTGTAGAAGTGCGATATATGTAGACTTACTTTACTTCTTTTTACTAAATGATTTGTTTACACACTGATCGACCAAAATAGATTCAAACACTAGGTTTTAATACTATTGAGCCAAGACTAGGTTATTTTTAATTTCCACTTTTATGTTTAAAACCCCATTCGTGCAACATCGAGAACTGTTCATTGTGAAACAAATAGTCCCAGAATGGAATCTTGCTTATATAAATCGCCAGAAGTAGGGGCGAGAGACAAGATACTTGAAGGAACTTGGAATAATATATATACATATATATATATATATATATATAGCGGGGTATCACTATCTATCTATCTTCTTCTTCTAGTAAAGCTATAGATTTAAGTTAATACAAACTGTATTGTGTTGATTGTTAGAAAATAAGTGAAGAAATATTTATAGATAAAAGCCAAGTCGATTGCATTTCCCACTTTGCATTCTCGTATTTGTCAAACGCCAGATTTGTTATTTTAATACACCATACGAAGCTAAATGTGTTCTTTCCAATATTCAAAATTTTCCCAGGAAGGAACAGGACCAGAAAGAAAACTTGAAATATAGATAGATATCGTTCTAAGATGACTAGGAAAGAATTCAAACAAACAAAATATGTTTAGCTACAATGTGCGTCATTCGGTTTTCATGTACGCTTTATTGTGTCTGCTAGAATTTTTAGTTACCGATTTTTTTAATTTACCAAACGCTATGCTCGTTGCCACACGTTGCAACGTTAAGGCGATTTTTAACGCGGGGTAACCGCTTCTAGAAAACGGTTCCCGCGTTTCGCTCGCGCATGCGTCACTCGCTTCCCATCCCTTTCTCGCGTAGTGCGCGGCAGTCTCTACTGCGCACTAGGCGGCGTCACCACGCGGCCGACGCATTCGCCACCAAAACAACTCTTAGCGCGATGATCGCCGATCTGCCACCGTTGCGGACTATGGAAAATCAGCCGAACTCGGAGCAACAAGGTATTAAACTCGCGCTCGCTTACCGCACCGGCCGAATTCTGGCGGCCGATATGCGCTCGTGACATAGCACGTGCACGGGCGAAATCATGAGATTTTAATGGAAGCGTTTCAACGGATTATCGACGACGACGTTCCGGACGCGGCTCTGTGCATGCGCTTTTTGGCGAATTTAATATTTTAGATATGCGGAACTGTATCGAGCATACAATTTATAAAACATGTGCTCATAACTGACTGATGTTACAAGGAAGGAGTATTGCGTCGCACTTGATGAATACGTACCGTGATTTCCGCTGACGCGTCGGTCGAAAAGGTCATAAAGTCGGAACAGGTCGTGGGGGACTCAAAACCCGATGTCGCAACTTGTTGCTTTCCCGCTAAAACTGCGTTGTTTACGACGTAGATTCTGTATTTCAATGTTGTTCATTTCACGCCCAAGAAATAACAAACGTACTCACACGTACTCTACACTCCTATTCGTAGTAAGCGCCGGCTTACAACATAATCACTCTGTTTGTAACAAGATCCACTGCGCAATTATACATTGGATCGCTTTAAATAATTGACCCATTTATTCGGTACAACATTTATAAGTTTATGAATCGTCTTCTTTTCCCATTTATCATAAACAATAATAATAAAATCCTTGGTTAACAGTAAATTTACACTCATTTATCAGGGTAGGTATATTGTAACTTATAGTTCAGAAGTAAAATATTTCCTCATTTAAGTAATGAGGTCATTATGAAACTTTATTGCTACGTACTTTATTTTAGGTTCAAGGAGATAGACAATTGTCCACCGTTTACAGGTGACCAACAAAGAACACGAAGGTCAGACGGGTTGCGGTGACCTTAAAGCGATCGCCTAAGTCAGCTTCGTCCTCTAAGCCTTACAAGTCAAGTGTAATTTTACAGTTTTCTCATTATCTGTTAAGAATGATTTTATACGATCAACGTTTTCAGTGTACGTACAAATTGCATATCGTAAATCTTATTGAAGGACAAACATAGGACGAAAATAGGAGAGCCGTAAAATTGACTGTGAGATGACTTCAAGGCTGCCAAGGTCAAACAAGGAATAATACAACTGCCCGTTTTTAGGTTTTAAATAATGTAAAAAAATATGATTTATTTCTGTTAGATCGAAATTGTTTAATTGCAGTTTTGAGAGTTATGGTTGCAGAACAATATGCGTAACATGCTTTTATGTTTGTTATAAAACTCATCCGTAGAATGACGGTCTGCCGGTGAAAACAAACAGCGGTAAGGTCACGGAACGAACACAACGTTCGCGACACTACGTCACAGTATGATGCGATGCACACATCCAAAAGGAACTATTCTTCTGGAAATTATTATTATAAGGCTTTTTCCCATTGAAATCTTTTATTTAAATTATTGGAGTATACTTTTAACTTGAATGTTCTGCGATATGTGTTTTGTAACAGCCAGCACTCACTATCTTACTTTATTCAGTTTGTTAAAGTTTATTCTATTATTGCGTTGATTTCGAAGCAGATTATACAGCTTTTAACTTTTTTGATTAAAAACGTTTGTGTGTAACTTATAGTTTTTGGCATTACAAAATAAAAATAAAGATTTAATTATAACCATGAAGTAAGTCCGGGCTATGAAAAGATCTAAAAACTTTTTTGGTATGTTATAGACCGGCCCGGGCTTCGCACGCGTGCATCCGCACCTTCCTCTTGAATGCACTCTATCTAATAAAAAAGATAACCGCATCAAGATCCGTTGCGTAGTTTTAAAGATCTAAGCATAAATAGGGACAGACAGACAGCGGGACGACTTTGTTTTATACTATGTAGTGATTTGTGACAAAATTACTACAGGATGAATAATCTATAAAGTTATCGAATAATCATGCATGTTTTATAAGGATTTTTTAAAAGGAAGTTTTTTTTATAAAAAAAATAATTTTATTCTATTTGTCTTTTGCGGCGATAGCGGAAAAAATAAGCTTTAAAACAGCGTTTGAGTCATTAAATTTGATGAGAAAATATGGAAGCTGGCGTACCCATAAAAACACTTTTGAGAAATAATATAAATAGAGATTTTGTCACGCCTCGCGTCGTAATTAAGGAATTCTTTGACAAATATTCAAAACACAAATTGCCGCGAACTAATGCAGACTTTTTGATTATTTTTCTAAAATCCCTCGGATGGTGCAAATGTTTATGGGCAGCGGATACAACTTTACATAAGGTCGAATTTTTACATAATTTCGAATGGAATGTCCGAATTTAATAATTCAAAAAGTTGTATAAAGATATTGAAACAATCTTAAATATGAAGTCATTTATTTTTATAAGGATTAATACCAAGATACAAATAAAGAGCCTATTCTAGCGGCGGCCATTTCAATCAAAATTTTAAAATAAAAGAACACTTATTGGGGCATTACTATAATAGTTAGACATATGCTGTCGCGACACTTTTTGTAAATAATGATGTGTTCTGCAAATTCTTAGTACATTATTTTATTCTATCATCAATAGTTTTCACAGCGGACGTGATGTAAAGAATATATTAGGTAATTTTTGTACACTTTGGGCTACATTATTAAAGTTTTAGTTAGGATCCCTAGTTTTTTGAAAATATAATATATGTCATCCGAGAATAATGTAGCTTCCCAACAGTGAAAGAAATTTTCAAATCGGTTCAGTAATTTCGGAGCCTATACAAGCAATCAAATCTTTCCTCTTACATGGTATGCGGAGTTGGGATTGTTAGGTTTTATTTTCGTTACGGAATTTCTTGATTCGGTCGCTGCGCTCAAAGCACGCGATAAAAGCTATGCAATAGCTTAAAAGATACTCTTTGAAATCACTTAGTAAGATACAGTATCGGATCCCATTTGAGTCAAGAAGTCGCTCGAAATAGAGTAAATTTCACATGCCTCTATAAAAAAGCTTCTACGCGGGAATAATAGAATAAGATCCATTAAATTTAAATACAAACAGCATTTGAATTTATAAAAGACAGCGAACATGCAAATCGCCGATGTAAAGAGATCGAAATCGGACGCTCTAAGGGCCAGGCCATTGAGGTAAAAGCGAAACCGTCGCATTGCCTATAAGTAGAGCTATTAGCGAGCCTTCCTCGGTCGTTTATCGGTGCAGTGATGATATGGACACTGCGTCTACTATCACCTTAACCATTATCGCCTCAAACCGGTTCGACGACGCCGCAGTCGGCGCGCGCTATGCTCTTCACAATTACTCATTAAAGTTTCAGACTATAATTCTCAAGCATTCGCGATATGAGTGGTGATATTTTAAATCTCCGTTTAAAAGTTCTCATGATGTGGAAAAGGAACGAGGTTTGCTCGTTTAATATATCTTCCTTAAAACCCTACAGTGAAATTCGACAGCATTTAATATTCTTGTAAATATTTGAGAATGACGTCAAAGTAGACTATCTCGACCATACCTAGCCAAGTATAGAGTGGCTTATAGATCGACCATATCTAGTGCCTATTGGCTGTTTTTTGTGGTAGGAGGAGGTGGCAAGCGATTGCCACCTTTAAACGCATAAACATGCTGCCGCCAAAGAAAACCGCCCCTCGTGGACATTTGCAACACCCTTTAGATTGCAGATACGTTACCACCTTTTAATAAATTGTTGTTAAATGTCCCACTGTAAGTGCTATTGACTGAATTTAAATTAATGTAAACGTATATAAGCACGCGATGCGGGATTTCTATATATGTATTAATTTCATATTAAATCATTAATCATCAATTTGAGTTTGCGCCAATACTGCATATTTTAAATAAAACTATTTTACGGAATTTCTCGCGTTTAATTTTAGTTTTTTTCTGAGTAAGAGTTATGATCACGGGTTACGTGATCATAACTCTTCAAATGCGGAAAGTTCGTTTTATTCTATTATTAATATGATCATTATGGAGGAAAACTAGTTACACAGTTGAATTACATTTCTGAAACCAAGTAACTATTATGCAGGTCCTAATTTTACTGGACGTAATTATTACCATAATGATAAATGTGAATTCAAATTAAGCAAGCTCAATCGGAATTGCCGGTGATTTCTGCCGAGCGATCCTCGAGAATTAGAATAATAAATAAATAATAAATTAATTCTAGAATCCTTTGGTCATTTATAGTAGGATCAAAATATTTTGATAGAGCAAAATAATGATTGACTAGTTCACCATTTAACAAGGAGAGACATTGGACACAAAATTATATAGAAAACACCAATTACGAAATTAGAAATAAACTTAATATTGCGAAATACATTCTTCTTACATATTCAAAAAGTAAAAAAAGACTAAAACTTTTGAAATATAACCTACATTTTGACATTGAAAAAACAGAAAACAATTTTGGTTTTTCTCGTTTCTATGAAGGGGATAATTTATAAAACCTTTGAAACAAAAAGTAAGTAAACAATGATTGCACTAACTTACAAAAGCTTTTCTGTTCAAGAATAACGAAGGCTGTATATTTTATTTAATTAAAAAAGTAAATATTTGTTTAATAATATCATATTCCGAATAAAGTTGAAGGAAATGACAATAAAGTTGACTGCAACTTTATTATAATAATAAAATTGGTAAATATGCCTTAAATTTTTACAAATAATTTTATATTTACTCCACGTTTACTTTACAACTTTCCAGAGGAGTTCCAGTAAGAGAGGTGGTATTTTATAAACACCCCTTAAGATATATTTTTCAACAGTGAAGATAAAAAGCAAAAAAAATAAAAAAATATGTGTAATTATATAAAATAACCTAGTTAAAGTTATGTTAAATAAATACATATGATCAAAGCATTCATGTGTTTATATGCGTAATGTTATATACCTGATCGTTTCGTCTGTTGAGGCAACGCATCCGCAACCCTACGGGTGTTCAACCGCCGGCTTTTCACAAAATAATCCATAACACACACTGCACGTGTTAGTTTGAACCTACCTCATGTTCTACAAATCAATCACCAGATCGTCGTTTGACAATATCTGTGGTGTTTTCGTATCAGACGTCGTGCGTGGGTGGACCTACGCTGGT